CTACACCTCCACCCTTCCACCTCCACCTCCACATCCTCCGCCTCCTCCTCCTCCTCCTTTCCTCTCCTCCTCCTCCTCATCCCCCTCCTCCTCCTCTCCTCCTCCGTCTCCTCACTCTCCTCCTCTCTCTCCTCCTTCCTCCTCCTCGTCCTCCTCCTTCCTCCTCCTCCTCTCTCCTTCCTCTCCTCCTCCCTCCTCCTCCTCGTCCTCCTCATCCTCTCCTCCTCCTCCTCCTCCTCCTCCTCCTCCTCCTCCTCCTCCTCCTCCTCCTCCTCCTCCTCCTCCTTCTCGACACAGCCGCAGCGCAACGTGAGTCCGACACGCCTTGATGCCGCTTACGCCCCCAACGCCGCTGACGTGGGTGGCGTCTGAATGCCGCTTGCGCCACCGTCTGTAGGGGCAGACGGGCGGCGTTCACAAAGCACAGACTCCGAGACTTCACCCACACGAGGTGCTTCGGAGGCAATAAAGGACTGAACAAGGCTGCGCCACTCCTTGTTGACAGAAAAACGCCCCTTGGCGAGGTTGGCCAGCACACGAGCACCCCAGGAGCCGTGGGGTTGCGGCCCTGGGCGCTCCGTGGCAAACCTGGCCGAGACGATGGTCCCCCCCCCCGCCCCCACGCACACACACACACACACACACACACACACACACACACACACACATACACACCCACACACACACACACACACACACACACAGCCAGCACACCACACACCACATGCCCCCCACAACTTGGAACGAGTGTGCGGCATTCTGCCGTCCACCTGCTCCAGCAACCCGCACGTGCGCCACGTCGGCACGTGAGATCACTGGCGGCGTGGAGGACGGTGGGGCGACGAAAGAGGGCATTGGCGCGGCCTGTTGCAGCCGCATGTTGCTGCCGCTGGCGGCCCGCTTCGAGATCTGAAAAGCGTCAGGGTCGGCCATGGGCGGCCCGATCTGGGCCGTCCGAAGGGCCCAAGAACGAAGAACGTTGGCCTTGCTCCCGAAAGCCAATCGAACATCGCCAGGGATGCGAGACCTCGAGCACTGCCGCTGAGCCCACTCATCGGCCAAGTCATTCCCTGCTTTCAACCACTCGGTGGCGCGCCCATTCTGCACAGCAGCACGCGTGCAGTGCGCACGCACCTTGACAACGTGCACGTGCTCGATCCCCCCCAGTCCTCCACCCGCTCCCACACTTGGATCCAGATCTCCGCCCAAGCGGAGCGTGAAGAGGTGCAGTACTGGCGTCCGCGCACGTACAGGCCATCATGCACGAACGCGTTGCCGGTGTACAGCGTGGAGCCCAACGTGGCGTGATGTAAGGCACGAAGGAGGGCTGCGAGCTCGGCAGCATCGATATCGGCAAGTCCAATATCGAGCGTGCCACAGAAAACAGAGAGCGCGCGATGCGGGTCAGGATGCACGGCAACGAGCGCCCACGCGGCAGCTTGGGATGGCTGCGGGAGGTGTTGATCCATCCAAGAGCCATCGAGAAAAACATGCCCTCCCATCTCCGCAGGTCCTCCTCCAAACCATCGGGACGGCGGATGACGAGAGGGGGGCAGAGGCGAGAGGGGGACGAGGAGCCTCTCGGCGAACAGGTGAGGGAGGGGGTCGACTGAGGTACGAACGAGTCAGAAGGCAAAAGCGGGCGGCTGGGCCACCGTCTGCAATTCCTCATGCTTTCCGCACGACGCATGCCTGTGCAGCAAGGTGCTTTGGGGCCTCCGGGCACGCCTGACAGGTGTTGTCTTGGACTAGGCCTGCCTTCCACTGGGGGTGCTGAGGCCACTGCCCCCCAGCGACCACAGAGCGCAAATAGCCTTTCCCCTGTGGGGAAAGGGTGGAGCCTTGCAAGAGGAAGCGAAGTGGGGCAAGGTAGGCTCCATTGACAAGCTCATGCACACCCTCACGATCAGCCACCTTGCCCCACAACCACCTCTCAATGACAAGGGTGAGCCATGCTCGCACCGTGCGTGGAGATTGCTCCACAAGGCTGACCCTGCCAAGATGCTCGTGACTCCAGACAAAGCCGTCAATGTAAAAGCCGAGCCGTTTTGCGGTGGCCGCGCACGCAGTAAACGGTACACGAACAGCGGCCCAGAGATTCCCATGGTCCCGAAGCGCAGCCACCGCGGAATTCAGCACTTGCAGTAAAACCTTCTTGGGAAGCAGCTCGTCCCAGACCGCGACGGCAAAACTAACAAGTAGATCAAGTTGCAACCTGTAAGCGGGATCACAGAGACGTTTGGACGACAACATTTGCAGAAGAGAAACCTTTGTCCCCGCAAGACCGAATCTGCATAGCACGTGGGCTTGCATAGCCCTGGCTTCGCGCCGAGCCACGTGGCTGGTGCCGTACACGTTACCCCCAGATTTACCGGAGGTCAAGGCGGCAGCCTGCAGCATGGTGCGTAAACGAGATTGCCGCACACGTTTGACATAGTGCATGAGCTTGCGAGCCCGAGCACGGGCTGACCGAGGCTTGGCGGCGGCAGCTGCAGAATCGGTCCCGAGGTTGCGCTCGCTGGAGGCACCCTGCGCACGAAACTCACGAAGCTGGCGCACCAGCTGAGCTCGGACTCAGGGAGACGACGCAGCGACACGGCGCTTCCGACGAGCGACAGGGAGGTGAACTTGGTCCGGCTCCGCGTGCAGCATCTCAGCGGCGTCAACGAGGTCGGTGGGCAGGCCGCTCGCAGGGCATAAGAGCGTGTCGCTGCGGCCGCCGCGGGAACACGCCGAGCAAAAGTTCCCGACCGTGGGCCGATCAGATGGAGTCCGAGCAGATGGGGTCGAAGGGTCGCGCCGCAACGCCGATGAATTGGCGATGCGGCTCGATCGAACATTGGGAAACCGACCCCAGCCCCCACAAATATTGATGTTACATGTCAACGTTTTGCAATTATGGCGAATGTGCGTAAGCGCAGGCGCCCTGTAAGCGAGGCCATTGCCGTCTATGTGGTCCAAAGTTCCTCATGTGGGGGGCGGGGGGGCGCTTTCCGTGCGTTCATCGATGTGGAGCCCGATGTTCTCCGTGCCGACGTCGCCGACGCATCGCCGACGTCGCTGGTGCATCGCCGATGCGACACGATGCTCCGGCGCATCTACTCGGACTCGATTTAGGGCGCCTCTCAAAATGACGGACGTGTACATGGATTTTCGCTGGTTTCGAGGGCGTGCTTGATCGCGCGGCCGGCGGCCAGTGGTCGCTGCAACCGGGCAATCGCACTCCTGGACGCTGGGCGGACTGAGTGTTCCATATTGGCGTCATTCCTCCACTCCTCAGGAGCGAGAGGAAGACGCACGTGCACATGAATCGTCCTCGGTTTCGGGAGTATGCGCTGCGCGAACGCTCGGAACAAGAGGCTGGCCTCGCGGATTGGGGGATCGTGCTCATGCACGTGATTGCGCGAGTACGTCTTCTTGGGGTTCCCCAGGTTCGGCCGTTGGGGGCCTCCTTCGGGCCCCGCGGCCACCAAGCACGGGTCCGGGACGGAGAGCTGTCCGTGAGGAAGGTCGGCGGCGAGTGAGGGGGGGAGGTGAGAAGGAGAAGGCCTTCTCAGAAGGTTCGGAAGTCCCCCGGCCCTTCTGAGAACTTTCCTAAGCCTTCCCTGAAGGCACACAAACTTCTCAGAAGGTGCGAGGGCTTCTGAGAAGTCCCGCCGCCTCCTGAGAAGGCCTTCTCCCTCTCGCTTCCCCCCTCGCTCGCCGCCGAGTCAAGGACGGGACCGGGACGAAGAGCTGTCCGTGAGGACGGGGCCGAGACCTTCCAGGGGTTCGGGAGCCTCGAGACAGGGGTCAGCCAGAGCGCTGGATCTTGCCGGATCTTACAGGGACGGGGTCGCACTGACCCGGGTTTTGGGGCGCAGGAATCTGCAGGATCTTGCAGGATCCTTCCCATTGACCCGTTTTTTGGGTGCAGGATCTTGCAGGATCTGCAGGATTCTGCAAGGCCTGACTGACCGGGGTCTGCATTGACCCGGGCCAGAAGAGCCCCCGAGGGGCGCGCGGGCTCCACAAAAGTCCACCCGCCGGGTGCCTGGGCACGTCTGCCGACGACGCACATGCCCGGCGGCCCGGTATCGCTGCCCGTCGGGCGGCCGCGTGGTTGACCGCAGTCGCGGGTTGGCCAGCCCGCGGTCGTCGGGGCCTAAAAAAAAGACACACACACACACACACACACACATAGAGAGAGACATTAACAAACAAACAAACAAGCAAGCCAGCAAGCAAGCAGGCAACCAGACAAGCAAGCAAGCAAGCAAGCAAGCAAGCAAGCAGACAAACAACCGAACAAAAACAGTCAGATGCCAGGAGTCTCGGACAGCATCAGAGGGGCACCGAGGGACAGGCCGAGACGGACATGCACGGAGACGGACTTGGCAGACCGAGAGAGAGAGAGAGAGACAGGCATATATATATATAGAGAGAGAGAGAGAGAGAGAGACAGACAGACAGACAGAGACCGGGAGAGCCACGGCAGAGGAGCACCGGCAGGCAGATGGGGGCAGAAGCTGGTGGACGGCCAGGCAGACCGAGAGAGGCCGAGGCAGACGTGGGCGGGCAGGCGGAGACGGCAAGCAGGAGGGAGACGCGGACGGGGGCAGCCAGGCAGGCACAAGCACGTGATCGTTTTCTTATCCATTGTTTTGCCGATCGGCGCGGGCCCTCGCCATCCTCCCCTCATCTCCCCCCCAACGGCGTAGATCTTGGCTGCTCTTGTTGGCGCCTGTTTCGAGCAGGCGGGGTCCCCACCCCAGAGGACGCACGGTCCCAAAGAGTCGCAGTTAGCAAAGGTCTGGAGCCAAGCCAGACCCCCTCCCCTCCCCCCCCCCCTTCCGCCCAATGTCGAAACGCTGAATTCAAAAACGCTCACCACAGACGGCGACAAGCTGAGACAGGCAGACATGGAGGCAGACACCTGGTGGCAAGGAAGACAGACGGAGAGGGCAAGCGAGCGAGGGGTGGGCGGCGACGGAGCAGCCTCGGCAGCCACCTTCCCCGAGGCCCTCCCACGGTGCCAGAGCGGGCCCCGAAGAACCACGTCTCCCGCGAAGAGCTGCAGGCGTCCGCGGCACGATTGCGGTCTCCTCCTCGTCCTCCCTTGCAGCTGCCACTGCCGCCGCCGTCGCAGCCTCTCCCCGGCATCCTCCGCCTCCGCTTCCACCGCTTGTCTCCTCTCCGCGCCGCTGCGTCTTCGTGCACGGGCTGCCGCTGCTGCCGCAGCCAGCACCTCAACACCTCGCTCTTTTGCAGCACCGCGGCGGTGATTTCCTGCCCTTCCATCATCCGCGCAAGCGTGCGGTGGGCATTCAAATATTCCTCCGCTTGCGAGGCTCTCGACACCGAACCACCTCGTCCACCTGGTTTCTGCCGTTGGCCCCTTTACCGAGTTGCGGTATCTTACCGTATTGAGGCATGTCGGTGTGTGGTGTCCCATGTGGTTGATAAGTACGCCGACTTGGTTTGTCGAGAAGCGTCCAGTTAGGAAGATTGGTAATAATTGTCTAACCGAGGCAAGGCGAATTTCAAAGTGCGCGGTTCTCCGTCGTATTGGTTGTGCAGAGTCGGTTCGAGGAGAGCGGCGTATTATCATGAATGTCGAGCATAATGATAGTGGCAGCGGTTGTAGGAGCACTCGGCATGCTGTATGCAAGAGTACGTCATACGTCTGAGTATTGACATTAATAATCAGCCGTTGTCGCTGTCATACAGTGTGTGCTCACATTTATGGCCACGATTTTGTTTACACATGCGCGCTCACAAAATGCCACTCCTCATCGCTATTACCACCACCACCACAGCGGTTACCGCCACTGCTGCCACAACAATTGCCATCGCGACCGCAACCGCCTTTAAAACACCGTCCACTGTCACCATCACCACGACGGCGGCGACAGCTTTCCTAGGATGATGGAAGCAACGGCGACGATAACGACCCCAGAGGCTTCCAGATGCCCGACACGAACCAGAAGCGTCCAATAAGAAGAGGAATCTCCATCTTCGATCGTCGACGACGACGGCGTGCCACGACCACGACGGCGATGAGGCGCCATTCCAGGAGCGGCAGGCCAGAGCTGGTGCCGATGGGCCCAGCTCGTCGCGCCGGCACCCGGGGCCGGCGGAGCAGCCGGCCGGGCGGGTGCAGGAGCGCCCGCCCATGTTGCTGACAGTTCGTCGCAGGAGTGCTTGGATCGTCCCGACAGGCCGCCGGAGGCCCGAGGTGTGGCCCGAGAACAGGAGTTCCTCACGTTGCGAGACAGACGCGACGGAAAGTGTTGGACAGCGTTCGGCTTCCGAGGGCCATCGCTGGGCCCCGAGGGCGTCAAAAGACAGCTCGGGACAAGAAAAAACGGATGCGCGGGGTCCGCGTTGTGAGCACATCACGACACTGGAGTTCTGGGCATGCTCACCCTCACTCCTATGGTCCAGCTAGTGCTGGATTGTCCCTGGGCTTGCAGGTTTGCACATGCTGCCACGCAGGGGGGTCAATTGGCCTAGAGCGGAGCACGTCCCCTCGGCGGCGCGCAGAGAGGGGAAGGCATCCTAGAAGCACCCCTTGCTTCTTCGAGGGCGCGGGCCCTGTCTGCAGATGCAAGGCGGGCGCTTCTCAGAAGCAGCCTCCTGAGAAGCCTCCCCCCCTCCCCCATACAGTCGGGGCCCTGAAGAAGGAACCCTTTTCGTTGGGGAGGGGCTCCGTGTTCCTTAATTGTTTCGCAGCTTGCTTTGGATTTTCCTCAGGTTTTCGATACGACATCGAAGTTCAACTTATGGAAAATAGGGGCCTCGTTCCTTATTTAGGGTTCCTTAGGTCAACGCCTCGACTGTACCCCCCTTGCGCGCGCCGCCAGCATCCAGCATCCAGCGCGGACCCTCGGGCCCCTTCCAGGGTACGAGGGCCTCTCCCTCAGGGCCTCGCCGCGTGCGTGCCCAGTGCGCGCCAGGGCCGCGCCGGACGGCCCCCCTTCACGGCCCGAGCCCCTGCCAGGGAGCTCGGTGCGCCAGAGGAGGCGAAGAGGCTCGGCCTGCTTTTGCTCTTCGCCCCCCGGCGCGCCGCCAATCGCCTGCTGCACCGGAGGCTGCGCTCCCCCCCCCCGCCGTGCGAGGGAGAGCCCCCCCCCCCCGCTCCAGCCGCCGGGGTCCGCGGCGCCCTCGGGCGGGCCTCGCCCTCGAGGGCTCGAGGGGGTGGCTGCTCTTCTCCGGCGGAGGGCTCGAGAGAGGGTTCGGGACATCCTCGGGGCTCGCGTAGAGTCGGGCCGAGGTGTAAGATCGAGGTCGCCTCGGGGAGGGTACCCTGATGTTCTTCGTGTTTGTTGGATGTTCTTGTGCATCCTGGCGGAGGGCACCCTCGAGTGATCTTATGGTTTGGGGTGGTTTGGCCGGCGGATGGTCGCATACTCTTGAAGAATGGTATTCTGTCCCAGGTCCGACCATACTGAGAAAAAGCTGGGCATCGCAGGTCTGGGCTCGCTCTGCCGGTGGGCAGGTCGACGTCGGAGAGTTGCGAGAGTTCGGGCTGGTGGGGCCGCCTGGCCGCTCCTCCCCTTTTTAGATCCCGTCGTTGCAAAAAATGCAGCATCGCGAAAGATCACGGCTGCAGCTTCCCAGCAGTTGCTGCCAGCCCCCCCCGCACTCGCCGGCCTGCCCGCCGAGGTGCTGCGTGAGGCTGCGGCCCATCGCTTTAGGTTAACTCGTCTTTGCGCGCCCCGCCCTGACTGGACTCGCCGCTGGCGCTCTCGCCTGCGGCCGCTGACTAAAAAAAGAAAGATCACAGCCCTGGGGCACCCGAGCGAGCGAGAAGCCAACCGCGCACCGCGGCTCGGGCCGGAGAATGTTGGAGAGCCGCCCTTCTCCGTGGCGGCGGCGCGAGGGCGCGAAGATCACCGCGCACCGCGGCGGCGCGGGGGCGCGGAGCGGGGCGACCTGGAGGGAAAGCCCGCCGAAGCAGAACGGGGGGCGGCGCTCCGCCTGGCGGAAGCAGAAGCTGTCCCCCATCGGGAGCCTTGAGACGGGGGTCCACGCAAACGGGGGTCAGCCAGAGCGCTGGATCTTGCAAGGTCCGGCATGGCCAGGGTTGCATTGGCCCGGGCTGGCGCGCAGGATCCCGCAGAATGTGGCGGGACTCTGCAAAGCCCGACCGACCCGGGCTTGCGCTGATCCGGGTCAGGGCGTCCCCGACCCCAAGAAATCAGAGTTTGGCGGCTCAGCATGAAGGAAGCGTGGCCTGGACAAAAGGGGTTTTGAGATTGTTCGTGCCGTTCACTGGATCCTAGGGCCCCTCCCCAGGCCTTGGGTCGGCAAAAAACGCTTCAGCATGAGTAGATGATTCGTCCAGGACCAGCTTCCACAAGGACAGTTTAACTACCTTCACCAAATCCACGCCGCGCGTTGTTGGGAGTTTGGGGCGGACGCTCCTCATCACTCCAGCCCCCGCGTGGCAATATTGACACAGTCGTTTGCCGTGTCCCAAAATCATCCACGCTTGGGATCCGAAGCCCAATCGAATCTTGGCAGCTACGGCGTCTGTTCTGCCAGGATTCGGCGGGCCGTGTGGTGAGAATGCTGAAGGTACTAGTTGAATTTGCCCCGCCCACCCATACTGCGTCGTGTGAGAGCAGGCAACTGGCGTCGCAGGTACCAGGTACAGGCTCATCTGCTCTCCTCGCCTCCGCTTTCACACCCTCCCTCTGCCTCCCCTGCTTCGACTGCTTGCCATTTCCTTCTCTTCCTCTCGCTCTCTCTCTTTCTCTCTCTCTCTCTCTCTCTCTCTCTCTCTCTCCCTCCCGCTTACCTCCCCCCACGATGATCAGTGTTAGGATGCTTTATGCTCCGCCTCCCTTCCCTCTGCTATGTGTTTCTCCCCGTCCCTCCTCTCTCTTATACCCAGCACGTCCGACCCCTTTAATTCGGCGGCGCGCCGAGGGGGGAAGCGAGAGGGGGCAGGCCTTCCCAGAAGGCGGCGGGCGGAGTTTTGGAGAAAGCGCGGGGGAAGCTTGTCGGAACGCCAGAGGCCGGTTGGCGGTTGACCCTTCTGAGAACGTCCGCCCCGTCTGCCTTCACCTCGGGAGCGGCGCCGACTTCTGGCTCCCTCACTCCAGCATGGGCACATTTCGCCGCATCCTGGCCTGTTCAAATGACTCTGGGTCTGTTCGCGCCCGCTGGCCGCCCGAGCGGTCTCGCTTCCCCTTGCTGCTCGTCCTCCTCCGTCGCAATCTTCCTCTGAGGACGCAACGCTTCCCCTCCTCCAACCCTCCTTCTTTGAAAATACGTATCCCGTCCTGCCGCACCACCCACCATCCGCGTCCGAAGGCTGGGCTGGGCGTTTCGCTTTTGACATCTCGCATCTTACGACCGCGAGGCATGACCATGTGGATACCTTATTGCACACGATAGCACATACGATATTTCGATTATGATACGACATGACATGTTACGGTATCTTGGAGAAAAGACCTTACACACGCAGTTCTGAATACCACGTTGTGGGTACCGACCGCTTTCGATGAAGCTTCCTTCGGGGTCACGAAAGGTGCGATGGGTGTGCCGAAATGGGCGCGGTGGTGCCATGCGAACGCTGCCACTAGAGTGTTCGGTGGAGCACCCTGTGGGTTCACGAAACGTGTGAAAGGGGTGTGCCGACACCGGGCGCGGTGGTGCCATGCGGGCTTGCCACTGGGGCTTTCGGCGGAGCTCCCTATGGGGCCACGAAACGTCTGAGGGGTATGCCGAAACGGGCGCGGCGCGGTGCCATGCGATCGTTGCCATTGAAGCGTTAGGTGGGGCTTCCTATGGGGCCACGAAACGTGTGAGGGGTGTGCCGAAACGGGTCCGGTGGTCTCTTTGCTGGCCTTGCCAGTAGGGCCTTCGGCGAAGCCCCCCAGATGGGGCCACGAAAATGCGAAGGGTGTGCTGAAACGAACGCGGTGGTGTCATATGGGCGCTACCTCCTTATGCGGCCACGAAGCGTGTGAAGGGTTTGCCGTCACGGTTGCGGTGAACCCATGCGGGCGTTGCCGCTATGACTTTTGGAGTTCCCCATAGGGCCACGAAACGTGTGCGCGGTGTAAGGAAACCGGCGCGGAGGTGCCATGCGGACGTTGCTACTGGGGTTTTCACTGGCGCTCCCCATGGGGCCACGAAACGTTTGAGGGGTGTGCTGACATGGACATGCGGAGGGCAGAGGCAGTGATGGGCGGAGGGGGCGGGAGGGCCAGGAAGAAGGACGCGCAGGGGTGGGAGGAGGGAGGAGGCGTAGGAGATGAGGAATGAGACGCGGGGCGCTGTCTCTTCAAAACGAGGACTCAACACGGAATCCCTTTGAGGGGGGTCTGCCGGAGCGGGCGCGGTGGTGCCATGCAGGCGTTGCCATTGGAGCTTTAGGTGGAGCCACCGTATGGGGCCACGAAACGTGTGAAGGGTGTGCCGAAATTGGTGCGGCGGTGCCATGCGGTCGTTGCCACTGGAGCGTTCGGTGGAGTTTTTTTCAGAGGGGGGCGCGAAACGTGTGAGGGGGACGCCGAAACTGGTGCAAGGGTGCCACGCGGGCGCTGACATAGGGGTTTTCGGTGGAGCCCCTACGGCGTCACAGGATGCGCGACGGGTGTGCTGAAACGGGCGCGGTGGTGCCATGCGGGCGCTGCCACTGAGGCCTTAGGTGGAGCTCTTTATGGGGCCGCGAACCTTCGGTGAAGACATCATTGCTGGGCCACGAAACGTGCGAGGGGTATGCCGAAACGGACGCGGTGGTGCCATGCGGGCGTTGCAAGTGGAGCCGTAGGTTCAGATCCCCATGGGGCCACGAAGCGCGCGAGGGGCGCGCCGACGTGGACACGCGGATGGGGGGAGGAGGGCGAGGACGAAGAACGCGCAGGGGCGGGAGGAAGAAGGATGGGGCGGAGGAGTTCGTAGTCATTTTGGCTCAAAGTAGAGACCTTCAGAAGTGGGGGGTTAAACCGGAGGTTTTTGCTGCGTGCGGCAACCATCAAGGGGGCGCCCATACGTATCCGCGCGGTGACGGCGTCGGCTGCGGGAGCGGCCGCGGCGCTGCGATGGGCCCTGTCACTTTGGCGGCGGGCGCTGGCGCGGCCAGCAGCGGATCGACAGGACGAGCCAAACGCGATGGAGTTCGCGCCTTCGGGAGGAACAAGC